TGCTGCAATGCAGGCCAACAACGCGACCACCGTTCGGGCATTTCTGCGGAACCTGGAAGTTTTTTTTGTCAAAAACCGCTTCAAAAGTTTCGCTCTGTTCATTAATTTTGCAAAAATTAAAAAAATGCGTTATAGTGAAATCATATGTTGTGACAGAATTTGCTTGAGGTCCTTGAATTCGAGTCGTAGGCCAGATCACTTATACGCGGCTGCTTGATGTTGGACGCGGCTGCCTCTTGGTGGACGTTTGGATGATTGTTATATTGATCATCGGTTGGCTAGACTCTACAGCAGCGATGCTGCGTCGAGACGAGTGTTTATGACGAATGGCGGTTATGACCCAAAAAAAAAACAACACAAGTAATCGTAACAACAGTAATCTCCACTGGGGAAAACAGCGTTTACACTGTCCATGGTCCGGCATGATTCACCGGGGATCATGCCTCATTGATCACGAAAGCGCTGTCAGCTTTATTGATATATTTGCTTGCACTGTGTGTATGTGTGTGTGTGTGTGTTTGCACATCTGTCACTCACTTCTAACTCAGCAGCCGTTGAAGCTAAGAAGCTGAAATTTTTGAAGCATATTCCCATCCTATGTGTGATGTTCTGTTTTTGAAGTCATCGTTCTAGCACTACGGATCGGAATTTGAAGCAGATCAAACGATTACCGTGCAACAAATTCCATTCAAACAAGCGACTGGTTCGGTGGTAAATGGAAGGCATTGGTGCGAGGTGGTGCAGCCGGCAATCAGACCGACCCCGCCATTATAGCAAATCAGTGGGGTTTGCTGGATAAGCGGTTGAGTTGGCAGCGATTTTGCAATACAGCATGCGTTGTTGATGCATGCTACCGGTGAAGCTGTATAGGGTGAACACTGTTGAGCGTTGGCGCAACCGACGGCCACTGTGTGTCCACCTGCTGGACAGTAAAAGTAAGCCCAGGCCTGGCTGGCCAAAAATACTAGCAGTGATATCGCAGTGCAACACACGACGCACATTCTCAGAATTGGTGTTTTTCTGAAACAAATTCATTTTCTGCATAGCTAGAATCAAATAAAAAAATTGTTTGTAAGCAAAATTGTATATTTTCAAGAATTGGATCCGCGGGTTTGACTGTACTCAGCTTCCTGCCGCTAAAGCAAGTAGAAGAACGGTGAGGAAAAAGCCGTTACAAAAAGAAAATGTACTTTTAAAGAAATAATAGTGTTTCAGGGCTATTGATGGGGCACAGGAGCGTAATCTTTATTGCGAGTTGTTTGTTGTTCCTGTACTTTTTCGAAAACTAAACGAATGATTTGTGTCGCGTGCTGAGGTTGCCGGCACACAACCATGCTTTTTTGCTTGGTCTTATGAAGCAGTCCGTTAGTAAGCGATATCAGTGGAGTTGCTTTAATGTTGTATCATACACATACACACGCACATAGATACTCAGCGCTTTTTCGCTGATTGTTGCGAAGCAACAGCGCTGTCGCTAAAAAATGCATAAAAACTTACACCGAAACCTGTGTTTTCAGCTAAAGGTTGAAATTAAGACTGCTTCTCCATATGCCTATTAAATGCTCGTCTTGCAATTCCTGTGTCTATCATTTCAGTGTTCTTTTAGGTAAAAGCTTTT